CCCAAAAGTAAGAAGCCTATTATAGCCTGCAGTTTTGATAAAACTCTAAGTAACTCTTATTTACAAACCAGATCTATCAAAATAGAACAAGCAAAGTCAGTTGATGAGCTTTAATCACAAAATCTGTTCATTTGTCGTGTTAACCACTCCAAACAAAAAACTAACAATACAAAGATGTTCAGTCAGCTGCCATGTCCTCTACACTGTCTCTGCTGTGGATGCTCTCATTCTATAAATAGCAATAGTGACCCGACGCCTATAAGGCTTTCCAATCTGCTTGTCTGTAACCCAAACAGAGCCTCAAAACAAGCGGTTAGTGATGGAACCAACCTGCTGTCTGCTTGTGGAGCTCATGAGCGCGGACATACACACACATCAGTGAAGCACACAAGTACATGCAAAATAATGTAGAAAAATGGGTCACACACCAAATCTGTATATGAACAAGCAGTTGTTTATATGTTGCGCACACACCTCTTCTTGTTGGCAGTAGACATAATGGTTTAGGAACCTTTAACAATTTGTGTTTAGCTGAAATGACATGATGTGTTTAGCTAAAAAACTCTTTAAATAATAAACATTAGTAGATTGATAATAAACATAATAGATTGAGGTTATTGTAATTGCAGATGCTCGTGGTATCGGGTATTGCTTAAGTAAAAAAGAAAAAAAGAAAAACAAAGTGCAGCCAAGAAGGGGAAAGAAATAAACAACAGACCAGAGACTATTTGAGTCTTCTGTCTGCAACTTTATGATTTTTTTTTCTTTATAATAATATGGACAATTAAAATGGGTAGACTACAGCTGAAACATTTCATCAAGACTGTTTTCCAGCATGCTTTCCATTAAATCATTTAATGAGATGACCAAGAGGACCTTACAACAAAACAAATTAGTATTTTACCTTTGCTGAAACACTGCAGCATTAACCCTGAATAATTGAAATATTTTCTAAAAAAAAAAAAAACTTTCTTCAAACGATATTTCAGCAATTACTATAAAAACACTGAACTGTTTCAAAAGGCAGTAATATGGCAAACCTACAAAAGGATTGCTTCAATTATCATTTAAAATGCAAACAAACAGTTTTATTATTATTTAATAAAAATGTCCATGTTTGTCCATGATGACTGTGGGAGAAGATATGCAATGATTTAATAAGATATAATTTAGGACTTGGCCATCTGCTGGATTTCCTCGTTATACTACACTTACCCATGAGGTATATTTAATTGACACTGGCAAAAATATAGAATGAAATCTTCCCTAACTTACTAGATAAAGCACTGGGACTTTAATAATTAAAATTTTTCTTCCTTTTCCTAAACCTCCAGATTCCATAAGCTCAAGGACATACCTCACAATTTCTGATGCCCTCATTACACTGTGCAATTTTTAAATATTTAAAGAAGAGAAACCCTGTGTCATGGAATTAATAATCTCTGGTACAATTAGCATATGAAAATAAGCTTTCTATTCAGTTTGTGATCAGCGTATGCCATCATTCTGGTTACCACAGACATTAAAACAAGTCTAAAAAATATAGGGAGAGTTTGACTAAAGTCATGACAGGAAGAGAGATCAACTCGGGGATGCTAGTTCACTGAGTTGAAGGGTTGCTTTAAAAACTCCAAAGGATGTTACGAAATGTGACTTACCCCAAAGATACCTAATCGACTCCTGTTCAGGCAAGAATAAACTATCACCAAAGTGGAACCCACCTATCTTTTCTTGGTAAATATATCTCCTCTGTCTAGTTTGTTTCTGGAGGTTATCTCTGTTTGATATAACCAGCAGCACCTCATTTTCCATAGAAATGTGGTAATAAATTAAATATATCAAACATTGGAGATCCCCATCGTGTCTGCATGTAAAAAATAAAACCACTATGCAAGGTTTGAACTCCATCGTTGTTTCTCTTGTTGTATGGACAGAGCACCCAGAATCAGCCATGTAATTAATTTAACCTAAACTGTGTGTGGTTCAGATACGTGATTAATGAACCAGCGTACAGTAAATTTAAGCATTATTCCCAATACAAACTTTTCCCGGTGGCAGCAGTTAAAGTGAGTAAAAAGTAAAACTGAAGAAATGTTAACTAAATCAAAAATATTGCAAAGACCAACGGTTTTTGACATGACATCAGTATGACTGCTCACAGATCTGTTCAGTGTCCTGTATAAACAGAATGTGTGGCAGCATGTTTCTATGTGTGTGGGTATCTTCTTCGCACACATAACATGTCACTCTGAGAGAAACAAGAGCTTGTGTTTGTGTGGTGGTTATTGATGAGAAGTTGAGCTCCCTCTGAACCACCTTCTGTTGGTTTTAGCTACTGCAGAAGAAGTGATGCATTGTGGGTTTATGTGTAAAGTGCCTCTAGGTTGTTTAGAAGCTTTTATATCTTCCCAGATGAACACCCATCAATCTGACTCACTAATACATTCCCAGTAAGTTATTACTGTAAACCAGTTGAGGTTTATATTTTTTAAATGTAGATAATTATGGTTTTTCACATGGCAATTTTGGTCTTATCTAACCAGGGCACCTTTTTATCACACCTGCAATAAACAAAACTAATAATATGACTATCTTTCAACAATAGGTATTTCCTTGGTACTCTTCCATAAAAAGCTAAACTAATGGCTGTCTTGATCTTGTCAACCTCAGTTTTGGTGGTCTGGCTGTGGTTGGAAAGTCTTCCACCAGGCGCTCTTGTAGACTGAGAGGTTTTTGGTCAATGCAAACTCAAATTTCAAGTTTTGAATAATAGATTTAATACAATTATAAGAACTGTTGAAACTTTTTTATGTTGTTTGCTGTTTTAATTATAACCTCAAAAAATGTAGCGTTTATTATAAAATCTCAACAGAATGCATTAAAAAAATGTTATTATTATTTTGTAAAATTAGGCTACAATACAATAAATAAAGTAAATAAGACATTTTGTGCTAGGTAAGGCATTTATTGCTTTATTGTTGCACGTTTGGTGGGAATAAAAAAATCATATTTGGCAGCAAGGAAAGCTTTTGATGAGGAGCATTACTTTTGTAAGTATTGCTTATCCATGGTATACCTCTGTTATGAATCATGTGTAAATGTGTCCCTGTGCAACTTTCCCAGAAGACAGTAGAGCAATGATGGTGGAAGTAACAAAGATAATTATCTACTCCACAGGGAGGTAAGAAAACAATTTAGGGATTTTAAATGTTTTTTTTTTTAATTCCATACACACTTTATTGTAGAAAGTCAATTGCTTTTAATTGTTCAACACACGTCATAGCTGCTGTAAAAGATCTGTCACACTGTGATCCTGCAATATGAATGTTCAAACAGACACTTTCGTGTTAAATTGATGAGACTGAGGTTACCCTGCACTTTTAGGTGTCATGAGATAAGAAAAGACAAAGAGGGAGAGAGACACTAAGACAAGAGAGGACAGGATGATGATGGTGACAGCAGCTCTCTGTTTGAGCAGGACTGCCTGCTAGCCAGGCTCGGACTGGGAACGATTTTTGGCCCTGGCATTTTTCTATCTACACTGGCCTACTTATAAACACAATATGAATAGACATTCTGGTTTAACAGATCTATCTTCAAGTACCACAGGACAACCATCAACAAGACTTCTCTAATGCGGTTTTACTGGCTTTGGTTATTAACACGGACGTGACAGTGACTGCTGCTGCATAATGTCCAAACTTGCATGAAGCGAGCCAGACACCAACTTACACATACAGCGCCATCACTGACTCACATTTTCCAGCCCCAAAAATATTCATAAACCATCTGAATATACGAAATCTCGCCCAATTTGAACCAAAGTTTATTGACCTCTTAGGCCATAAATCTAAAGAAAAACATTTTTTACCCATAGACGGCCATCCTAAACTGCCAGATTGGGAAACATCCCAACCTGGCAACCATGAACGTAAGAAGGGAAACGTTAGCCTTTAGATGTAAAAACCCATCATGCACCACAACATATTTTTGCCAAATATTCAAACATAAATTCACCAAATATATGAGGAACATCGTAGTTTAGTTTAAAGAAAGCATTTTAGTTTTGTTATAATTTAGTTTGTTGCAAGGATTTTACAGTTTGAAGGAAGAGAAAATTACACCATATACACACCGTCACAAGGATGTGCATGACAAGGAAGGGCTTTATATACTGCATGCATCATTTGGGTAGTAAATATTGTATTAATTCTTGAGCTCGTGGAGTTATTTACTGTCACAGGTAGACGCTTGGGCCGGAGAGCAAGTGTTGGAGATGGTATGATCTAAGGAGGGCCGGCCCTCGCCCGCTGAAATTAGGACCGGCCCACCGGGCAAATGCCCAGTATCACAGATTACCAGTCCGAGCCTGCTGCTTGCTCCACCTCTGCCACCACAACTTTATGCTTAACTTAGGTTTCTCATCTGAATGACCAGTTGCATTTTGTACATTAGTCTTTAAAAGGGCGCACATCATTAGAGACATCTCAGTGAGAGAACATGTTATAGAGAAATGCTGTGAATGAAAAATAATTGTAACAATAGACTTACCATCAAACATCACTTAATTATCTTATTAATTCAATTCATGTATATGTCTTGTATTTCTGCCCTTAGAGATTAGTAGCATTAATCGGAGAAACAGTCAGAAGGCATATAAACATCTGCTGTTGCTTCTTGTCTGCTCGAAGTGGATTAAGAGGTGAAGCCTTACTGAAATCTGCTGGTCCTCTTAGACAACCTACCTGTTGTTGTGAATCATAATGTCTTGGAGGTGCATTTAAATGAGATTGGGGTGTCTAAATACTAGAGTGAATACAAATATAACAAATGTGCTTGGAATGAAATGGTCTGGACCTGTATGTACTTCTGTAAGGTCCTCAGAGTAAACTGTTATTGTGAATTGGCTCTATACAAAAAACATGGATTGTATCAACTACATACCTAAACTAGGTTTACTATGATGTAACACTCGCAGCATAAAAAAAGCAAAGACCCACCTGAGTTGTCTGTCCTTGCAGACGGCCACCATGACCAGCAGGTTTCCCAAGACACTCATGAGCATGACCAGAGACAGGAAGCAGATGAGAGCCATCCGCTTTGGCATGCTGTCACTATAAAAACCACACACACACAAAAAACAAAGCTTTAATTTACATAATGAAAGGCTATATACTATTTGTAAAATATGTAAAAGAAATACAGTTCTTATTTGGTTTAGCTTATGGTTGTAAAGTTATATTATTAAAGAAAGCAGGAAAAAAGGTGTAAGTATGGTTGTTATTTGCTACCATGTGTAATTTGAGGAAGATGTTTATTCAAGCAAAGTCTGCTGTTCTGCTCTTACTGATTGCTTCCACCTACATAAGCACTCAAACAGCTTAATATCACAGAGACTAATAGGTTTCACATTTGTGGTTGATTAGTAATAAATGGAGAGAGAAACAGCTGTGGTAGCATTAGCTGCTACATCAGCTGCGCCTGAGAAGAGAGCAGAGACACCTGCAGAGACACCTCTCATCTATAAGAACTGTTAAAAGTGGTTTTAGAAAGATTCATTATAAAAACAGAATTTGGGAAAAAACAAAAATCACCTTATAGAAATAAAGAACTTCAGTGGGCTCCTTGTTGTGGGTACATGTCTGTCTACATTTTAGCTTCATTTTGGTCATTTAAACTATATCCCCAAAACAAGTGGGTCCCACCATCAATGAGTTTCAATCACTTCCATGGCTGCATGAGTTTAAAATATGGTGCAGTGAAACTTGACTGGCCTGCAGAGAATCTTGACCTCCACATTATCAAACTCCTTTGGGATGAAGTACAACCAAGGCTGCAATGCTTTTTTTCTTATCTAACTACAATCCCTTCTAACCTATTTTATGTTTTCATTCAAATTATTACTTTTAGGAACTAAACATTTAAGTTTTTGCACTTTTGTCACAAAAATATTTGTTATTTTTATGTCAAGTACTAAAAATCTGTAGCTTAGCCATGATTAAAAAGTAAGAATTAACAGGACAATTGTTTTAATGCGTAATTGATTAACAAAAACTTGTCATTAAACTGTAGGAATGGCAACTATAGAGGAGCCTCACAGGGGTTCATTAATGTAAGTGACTTTAATCTTTTATCCTAACGGATTAGATATTACTGATACAAACATCTAGAATTCTGCTGAGCCTGCTGTGATGAGATCACTAGATCTTTCAAGTTTTAAAGGGTTACAATGAGCTTTAAAGTATTCTTTTGTGATTTCTGTGACTGGATTAATGTGCAATGAATCGTAACTTAAGTTCAACTGCATATTATTATTTCTTAATTTTGCAAGAGATTCTGTTAAGCTAAAGTTAAATTATGGTAAATAGGACATTTTTTTTTTTACATAAATGGTAATGTAGGTTATGTGACTATGCATATATTTACCATCTCTATTTTGAAGAGTTGAAACAGTGTGACATTAAGTTTAGTTATAGTGACTGCCGCTGTTAGGGCCTTTGGCATGAATGTATGATTGATACCAGGCAGAGTCAAAACTAAGTAAGCAAGTAATTATTTATTTACTGTATATAGCACCTTTTACAGACACTGGGGTCAAAAAGTGCTTTGCAAACATGCAGAATTAAAAGTTTTAACAGTTAAGAGCATGATGATATGATAGTCATACTAAAACAGCTCACACATTAGAGTTGTTAAATAGCTTTGAAACAAGGACACATAGACACAGACTGGATTGAGCATGTTAGTCTTTTCTTGAAATGGGTATAAGAATCCATGAAAATATTATTTTCTAATGACCTCAGCCTTTGAGAAGGAATTTAGGGAGACAACAGAGCTCCAATGTATAAGGGTGACTTACCACAGAGAGCTTTAAAAATCAGAACCAAGATTTTAAAATTAAGGCAAAACACCACTGGTAGCCAATGGAGAGATTTTAAAACCAAAATAATATGGGCCCGTTGGTAAGGATCAGCACCCCAGCCAAATACAAATACCGTAGCCAAATACTGATTGATTTCTTCATTGACATTGTCAAGAGCGATCACCAACACCTCAGACTTATCAGAGTTAAACAGCAAAGAGTTAGCCCCAAACCATTTGTTGGAGCCGTTTTGTATTTCTTTTGTTTTTCTGAATTTATTATGAACATATTTGCATTCTAATTCTACTGATTTATTTTTGGACTTTTAGTTGGAAATATGTCTATGTTTTCATTCTGATATGCTTATGTGCTTCTCTTCCTGTATGGTGGGCATGACGTTGACAAGCTGATTGATTGACGTAATAGATAGGTGCCGTCACCAACCGGTCAGGTAGAGTGGAAGTGGCAAACAGTTTTTCAACCATGTGATGCGGGAGCGCTTTTGTTGGTATGCAAGTTAAAGACAAATAAATGCCTCTATTTTTTTAAGACGCGCGTTTGGATCCGATCTATACTTCTCCTCTGAAGCGGTGACCGCAAGGTTGCCGCTACATTAAGTTGAAAAACTGTTTGCCACTTCCACTCTACACCACTACACCATTGGTTCTTTTTCCAAAGTGATTCATAAAAGAGTCCGATTTTTTTATCTCAGTGGAGTTAAAGTAGAAATACGACTGAATGTCATCTTCAAAAATATGATAGGAGACCTTAGTACCAGACCTATTATCGTTGTCTGGGCAACTACAATGTTTTATGTCATGTGGCAACGTTCAGCGAATCATATAGCACAACATCACTGGGATGCGCAGGGCTGAGCAAATCTGGTACCTACACCAGCTATCTCTTGGGATTTTGACTGCTACAACAGCCCAGTTAGTGTAACTAGCCAAGGAGTCAGACTAATCGAACAAAGGGACTCTGCCACTCTAAATAAAATATGTAAAATATCTCTAAACTACTTTCCAATGACTGTTTAATAACCGACTGACTAGCTGATGTTACAACTAGAGTTGGTCTTGTACAGTTTTGATGTGTCCTTTCTAACTCATCTGTTCAATCAGCTTCACTGGTACCTTCTGCCACTGGTGGAAGTAAAGCACCACAGCTGTACACAAACACCCCTCAAGAGCCCACAAAGTACTGGGTCTCAAGAAGGTTTAAAGGCTCAAAGGAGTAACACCCAGAGAAAGTGAATTTATATGGGTAAATGACAAGTTGCAATGGAAAAGAGGCTTATGTATTTCCACTGGGGGCTGCAGACGTAATTGCTTAAAGACTTGACAGAAAACAAGAAGTTGGAATGTCTGTATTAAAAATACAGCATAGTTTGTCGCCGTCAAACATCAGGACACAAACTGTCTCTAAAAATATGAGTAGATTATATTTTTTTTAATTGCAAGCCCACAGAAAACAAATCCTGAGTTAATGAGCCATGTGTTTGTGATTTTTTGAAATAATGTCAGCAGTGATATGCTAATTCTGCTCCCTGTTCGATACAGAAGTCATGCCTTGTCTGTCCCTGTCTGCCAAATTATTTGACTCTCAGCTTCTTAACTTCAAAGCTGAAGTGATCACATGCAAATAAGGTTTGTTCTTTGATCAGTGTTTCCAACACACAAATGAGCTCTGACATCTTATCAACAAATGCATTATTATTAAAAAAGACAGGAGATGCTGACTAATAATCTTTGATCTTAAATTTGTGGAACACGGAGTCTGTCATTTCTTATAAATGAGACCCTTATAACCATATCATTGTAGCAGCATCTATTTAAACATTGCCGGATGATAATGAAGGACATACTTCAGGTGTCTTTTTCAAAGCAAAAGTCTCAGGAGTATGACCAGAAACCAATCAGAACCTGCAGAGTGTGTGTGTGAATTTTTCTTAAGCTTCTATTGCTAGAGTAATCTTTAAACCCCAGAAGCTTTAGATCATGTTACTTAAATTCTAAGCAAGACTGAGCTCAGCTGTATAAAGCACATGTTTTTCATATTTATTTATAGTGGCACTGTTAGCGTTCAATTTAAACAGCATTATATGTCTGTCTATTTTACAAGCACAGGATTGGTTGTCTTTAATAATGGATTATTTTCGGTGTATTTGTTGCAATTATGCAACAAATACATCAATTGCAAATGTACCTTCATCATTCTTTACACATATGTCAGTGGATTCAAAACTTCTTGGGCTTTAGTCAAATTAGTTTTTCCAGAATGTTGATTTAGTGATTGATTGAAATCCCAATTTATATTTGATCAAAACCCAAGTTTTAGCTTTGACAATACGCACTATACTGTATAAAGGCAGGCAATTTATTGAGTTAGACACAAGGGTTCTCATGTCAAAACTGGTTTAAACACATGATTTGGTTAACGTTTGAGACACAATCATCACATTAATAACAACTACACCTATTCAGGTTGATCATCTATTCCTAGAGGAGGTTATTTTTAAAGTTCTAAAACTGACATTTATATATACCGTACATGTTGAATAGGAATTTAACAGACTTTTTAAGCTGTATCTATGCATAGAATGACATTTATTTTCTAAAATGTAGTTTTAGGTTTTTTCAGTTTATTTTTATAAACACGATATTTTAGTAAAGAAAAATAAATGCATTTTTTCTTGTAAAAAAAAAAATGGCATTATAATTGCAGTTTCAAGAATTTGGACCAAAAGCAGTTTGAAGACAGCTGGTCAAATACAGCCTGAATCTGAATAATTATTTTCAATGTTTTGTGTGGACAGGGAGCGAGGATCGGGAAATGAATGAATCTCTCATGAGTAGTCAATGGCCAACAGGCAAGACAGGGTACACCCAAGAACAGGTCAACGCTCACCAAAGTCTGTGATATATTTTTTCATATTTTCAGTCACTACGTAATTCAGCTTAAAAATGCAGAAACTCATATTAGGGACATGTGCAAACCATATTAAATAAGTGCGTTGATAAAACATAACAGTCAATTTAATTGTTTTGCTCATCTAAACAGCCTAACTCATGCAATTTATCGAGAACACATAAGCCTGAAGTACCTATGAGAAAACAATGTCTACAGTTGAAATTCTGTGGGGATTTTTTTTAAGTGGAATTCTGATATTGGGTTTTGTATAATTAGCTTTAACATAAATGTGACAAAATGAGAAAGTGGTTGTGTTGTTTTCCTCTTCTCTATCTTTTCAGT